TTTTCTTTGCTTCTGCTTCTTGAAGAAAGCTCCTTTTTCTTAAACAGCTTTGAAAATGACCATTAGTTTTACAATGATAATTCAGCTAAAATTTTGTATTCTTTAAATTATCAAACTTTGAACAGATTTTGATTGGCAGGTGAACATGAGCATTGCTATACTTCCCATGTCAGCTGAATTCAATTGGAACCCAGCAACTGTTGGTTTAATACAGTCATCTTTTTTTCTGGGGTTATGTCCTCACTCAGGTAAAAAATTCTTTATTTTTTTTCCCCATTTTTAATAATGTAATGAGATAAAATATTGGTTTCTGTTAATCTAAAGTATAAATTTTTGTGGGTTTTCTTGCTAATTTAGTTGTTGTTAGTGACAAATTGCTGGTGGCATATGGGCTGACACTGTAGGTGGCAAGTCGGTGTTAGGATTTGGGGTAATTTGGTGGTCCATTGCTACAGCTCTTAATCCCATGGCTGCTAAAATTGGTTACGATTTTTACTTCTTGTTCGTGCTTTCATGGGAATTGGAGAGGTTGGCTCTTTTATTACTAGTATTCTATCAACAATTTGATTAATCCACTTTTATTGTATAGATGGAAGAATTGTTTGAAATTTTATCTTAGAAATCTATAAGTTTTTGTACTGTATAAGGCCAAGGTCAGGGTGTTGCTGTGCCTGCCATGAATAATATTCTGGCCAAATGGATTCCTGTTGCTGAAGGAGTAGATCATTAGCATTTTGTATGGTGGAATGTATCTTGGCTCTGTTACTGGCCTGGCATTTTCACCAGTCTTGATACATCAGTTTGGATGGCCATCAGTGTTTAACTCCTTCGGTTCTCTAGGGACAGTCTGGTTTGCTTTGTTGATATATAAAGTAAACTACTGCAATTATTCATGGTATCAATTAACATTTTTTTTTTTTCAGATATTCTAAATTTGCTCAAATTTTAAATAAATTAGTATTATATGGAAGCAAAGTACTTCGCATATTTTGCGTGATCTTAAGTTTTATGTTCTGTTGAAGGCTTCAGTTGTTTGTCAAACAACAAGGTTCTCGTAGAAGTGTTTGGTTTTATTCAAAAATATCTTCCAAATGTCATATTTTTTCTTCTTTATTCTGTAGGCTCACAGTTCGCCTTTTGAGGATCCTCAACTTTGGCCCCAAGAGAAGACGCTTATTGTTACCAACAGTATTTCCCAGGAGCCAGATAAAACAATACCTTGGAGGTTAATCCTATCAAAACCACCTGTATGGGCCCTAATAGCTTCTCATTTCTGTCACAATTGGGGACCATGTATTCTTTTAACACGGATGCCAGCATACTATAATCAAGTAAGTCATTTCATCCAGTCAATGCACACTGCTCTCTTGTTCTTGCTAATTACCAATCAAATTGCTTACTAAGCATCCTAAATGTGGAAGAGTCAATAGAAAACTAGATATTAAGTTCATGGTAAATTATGGAATTGGAGTGTCTCGCACTGTCCCTTTAATTTGGTACCCAATGCTAATATTTCATATTGGGAAATACATTGTGGCTTGTTGTCGACCTTATTCAAGATTTTTTTTTTTCTGTATCCACTTTTTAAACTTGAATCACTCATTAAGATTATGTTGTGATGCTTCTTCTAACAGTTGCTAGAGAAGAAATGTGTCTCCTTGCCATCATGGTTTCTGAAGAAATTATTTTCTTATACGTATCCGTAGGTCCTGAAGTTCAATCTTACAGAATCTGAGCTCTTATGTGTTTTACCTTGGCTTACAATGGCGTTTTCTACAAATCTTGTAGGGTGGATTGCAAATACAGTTGTGAGAAAAGGTTTATCTTGACCACTGTTCGCAAGGTATTCTTTGTTTTCCTTTTACTCGTACAAATGCTGGTGATGCCTGTTTTGAAGTTCCATTGTTCTTTGACTATGCAATTTTCTCTAAATATGCTTTCCTTAAGAGTCATATTAACGGTTATCAAGAGTGATACACATGACCAAAAATTTTCTTTTATTTGGATGCACTAGTGACATTGGTTCTGTTACAAATTCAATTCTCTCTCCCATGTGCTCATGTCTTTCATCAACCTCTGCCCAGTTCTCTATGCGATAATGTTAAGTTGAATTTTCTAAATTAAACTGTCTGTTTAAGTTTATTGAATGTCTTACCATGTATTACAGATCATGCAATCAATTGGATTTTTCGGCCGTACTTTCTTCTTAACTCAGCTCAGCCTCCTGCCATGACTGTTTTGTGTATGGCATGCAGTCAGGTTTGCCTCTTTCAGATCTTCTAAATATAGAATTAATATTGCTTTTGTTTCAATTATCATCCCTTCTTTTTTCCTCAAATTTCCACTTAAGCATTGGTAGTTTAGTCGCTCTACCATCGTTTTCCATTTGATGGGATTGATCAGGTCCCTCACTCCAATTTGTTCTCTGTTACTGAGTTTTGATTGGCGTCAATAGCTTTATGCCTACTATAATTTTAGGTAGTTTCTAAATATTAAGTCAAAGTGGCATCTTTTGTAAAATTCTTCTCTGTCCTATCCCTTCAGAATTGAAATAAAATTTTTTAATCAACTATATGCAATTGACTAAGCGAATTTCAATTTGGTTCTTTAGAATAGGGAACTGATGCATTTTCACAATCTGGCCTGTACTCAAACCATCAAGATAGTGCCCCTCGATATTCTGTAAATTTTAGTTCCTTAGTGTTGTTGATGTCCTAGGTTTGTTGTCGAAGATCATACTTCCATAGAGAAGGAAGCTTACAGCCAATTGCTGGTGACAAATTTTGTTATTCCAAATAAGCTTCATCTAACCACCAGTTTTTGTTGTTTTAATGGCATTTTAAACTCAAAACACAGCACATGAGTGGGTTATGTTGGACTGCTAACATTGCTTTCCTCTTAACCTTGAGTGGGTTATGTTGGACTGCTAACATTGCGTTCCTCTTAACTTTGTTTGGGAGAAGTGATGGTTCTTTCTATTTTCTGTTTACTCTTTGTAGGGATTTGATGGAGAGATAAGCCATATTTGGAGCCTATGGGAGCACATAAAAAAGTCTAATAAGATATCTCATTCAGATTTCTTAGTAATACCACTGGGACTCGAACCTGTAACCTTTGACTCTGATATCAATTGTTGGAGAGATAAGCCAAAGAGTCTATGGAACACACCAGAAAGCCCATACATACATGTTGGACACCACTTGAACCAAAAAGTTTAAGCTATTGGGTTCTTGAGTCCTATATATATATATATAGGGCATCTTGTTCAGATTTTTTAGTGATGTAAAATTTTTTACTCACATGTAAACCTTATCAACAAGATTATTACTTGATTTATCAAACACTTCTGGAGTACTGGCAGGGGCATGTGGAACTGCAGCAACTCGTTGCATCCTGCAACATGTTAAGAAGTCAGTCCTTGATTGAAAATCAAATTTAATTCCTGATTTATATGAACTAGAGAAATGTGCCCAATTGAACTGAATCATGAACTATATGGCATAGAATTTGCTGAAAAAGATTTTAACTCACCTTTGGCTTCTGGAAATTTACCTGCTGATGACATCTGACAATAACTGGGTAGAGTTGCTCCTACACAATACCTGTGCCCTCATGCCCTCATCTTTGGTTAAGTTGATCAAGTCTTTTCTGCATCTCACATATCATGCTGTATTTAGTTCTTTACCCTCAGAAACCGAGTGATCAAATAAAATTGTCTTTGCCAAAAAGCAGTGGGTTTGGTTGGATTTTCTGATCAGGGCACCTCCAGCTAAAACCTTCATATATTGTGACCCTGGAATCCTGTTCCGTGTCTGATTGCCTGTAACAATTTATGTAGATTTAATATTTCCCATGAAATCTTGTGACTTCATTGCCCTTATCCCCCCATAATTTTAATATTTGAACATTCTCATTTGCTGATACCTGGGCATTTTTCTGTATATTGACCATTCTCAGGCTCTTGGGATGATGTCTTCAAGGTTTCAGTAGGGCTATACTTGGTTGGAACTGTGGTCTGGAGCCTCTTTTCAACTGGTGAGAAAATTCTGGACTGGTTCCCAGATGTTTAGATGCTTAGCATGAGGCAGCTCAAGCCCCCACGTGCTTGAGCTAATGAAGAGAGTTCAATTGATTGAATGAAGGCAAACGATGAAAACCATGAGTCTATTATGGGGGAGAGGCAGAAGTATCCATTTTTGGACTTGAGGTATTGGCCATTTTCTTAAACCAGGCAAGGAGCTGAAAATTTTGAAAATCCAAAGCTGTCAATAGCTCTAAAATTGCAAAGTTGCAAGAGGCCTCATTGGAGAAAGAATTTATTTGTATATTAAAAACATCAGAGCCTGTAATTCTGTAAATGTTATATTCAATCCTAACAAAATTAATTTTGTAATTTCATTGGCTTTTTTCTCTCAAATACTTTCTTTTTTGGTAGGTTCTCTCAAACACTTGGACAAAAGTGATTATGTACAACAAATACACTTGTGCACAAACTTATGCCAAATTATGGTTTTTTCTTTTCTTTTTTTTTTGTACAAAGGAGGTTGTAATTTGAGATAGAAGGTTGTAAATATTGAGATTTGAATTCAGAGCTGTCGGGTGTCATCTCTTAAAGATAGTTATATAAATCAACTAAGATAAACTCTGGTTCTATAGATTGGACTTTTGTAAAAAATTGAGATTATAATTTTTATTGAAATTGTGAAATAAACATATGAAAACCTATATCAACTGATATGGAATATAAACATCACAAAGGCATTACTATTTTGAATGACTAATTAGTGTAAGTGTGTAACCTTAAGCAACTGTGTAGATCAAATTCAACAACCCAAACAAGCATCGTGTGAAATGATGAATCCAAAACAAATCAAACTATATACCCCTCAAAGCAGACTTCTACAACAATGATCCTCCTCCATGCTTTTCCTGTATATCCAATAAGAGCAATTAATACACAGTTGAGAGAGTTCAGTTTGATTACTCAAATGCACCCATCTCTATGCAAGTGTACGCGACTGCAAATAAACACGAAGGCCTTTCTTCATGAACAGAGTGAGTGACATCTTCTGTTCCACGCTGTGTCCAGGAACCAGCGAAAGCCTGTAACGCAGCAGAACTGCTGAGGCCACAGACTTCATTTGCAAGTAAGCCAAGTCTTTCCCCAAACAAGTCCTTGGTCCAGCGTTGAATGCCACAAACTTGTAGCCATCCTTTGGTGGATCAAACTTGTCACCTTCTGGTGATAACCACCTTTCAGGCCTAAACTCCAGGCAATCCTCTCCCCATATAGTCTTCATTCTTCCAACCGAATATATGGAATATGTCACAGTTGAGCCCGCGGGCACGAAGGTTCCATCCGGTAAGACATCGTCTTGGGCAACATACTTGAAATCCTGAGGAACTGAGGGGTATAAACGCAGTGTTTCAGCTAACGCTGCTTTGAGATATATCAACCTGTCTGCTTCATCAAACACCAGAGGCTCTTGAAGCCATTTCTTTTGATCTGGACCGCGCGTGTCGCGGAGAACCGTTGATATTTCGTTGATGATCTTTTGTTCAATCTCTGGATGGTTCATGATGAGCCAGAAGAACCAGCTGAGGGCTACGGAAGAAGTGTCCCGGCCTGCTAGGACAAAGTTTAGAGCAATGCGTTGGAGAACGACGCTTGTAAAGAGGTTGCCACCAACATCTCTTTTCTTCATGAAACGGGACAGTAGATCATCTGATGGAGTCTCTTTCCGTGCTTCAATGGCATCGTTCATGTAGTTTTCAACGATTTGGAGGCTGCTCTTTAATCTTTTTTCTGCTCCAATCCCCAAAATCTTCTTCAATCGCCATAGAAAACTGGGGTAAAGAAGCCTATGAAGAGTTGCTTCAGTAGCTGTGTCGAAAGCAATAGCAAATGGATTTTCAGGTAAGTCAGGAGAGAGTGTTTCCGGGTCTTTACCAAAGGTAAGGCTACAAATGTTGTCAAAGGTTAAGCGAAGCAACAAATCTTGCAAGTCCACTGATTTCTTCTCATTGGATGCTTTGTGTAAAATACACCATAGCCGATTCTTGATAGTCCCATTCACCCACCGAGCCATGGCTTGCCTGAGTGTCCTTGTTGTGAACTCAAGTGCCGCTGTTTTCCTTTGTATGAGCCATGTCTCTCCATCACTATTGAAGATCCCTTGCCCCAAAAGATCATGAAATGCAGCTTGCCAATGAGGCCCTTTCGGGTAATTATCAAACCGGGTCCGGAGAATGTGCTCAATATTTTTGGGGTGAGAAGTGACAGTGTAGAACCCTTGCTTCCGAGCCAAGAAAGGAAGAGCAATAGTACAGGTTTGATAGGTTGCTGAGCCACCTGTTGCTCTAAGGTTACTAGCAATCCAATCATGGATTCTCCTCCGGTTCATGAAAAGAAATGGTAGGCTGCCAACTAAAGGCCATACTCTTGGACCGGTTAACCTCCTGGCTAGGAGATGGAACCAGAGGGCGTAAGCCAATACTGCAGCAGCTAGGCTGAAGACAAATGGAAAGGTTTCCATGGGATATTAGAGAATCAACGCCCCAGACAGTTTAATTTTGAGAGAGATCGATACAAATGGAGTTATATATAAAGAGAAAAAATGAGAAAGGTTTAGTTGGGGTAGTTAGGAAATCTGAGTCCATGGAAGTCGCTAGCTAGCTGTTGGGTTGATAGGAACTATGTGAGAGAATTTCCACGAAAACCATGCAAGTTTTTTCAACTGCAAAGACTTATAACTGCATTTCAGCCATTAACTGAAGCTTGTCCTTTTTATTTGTCAACTCTTATAGGTTAAAATTTTTCATTAAATTGCCAGCCGGATTCTTAAACTTCTGGAAGAATTATTGCAGGTTTGTGAGCAGATGCTGCGACTTTAAATATCAACATCATATGACAGGAATAGTAAGTAATTTCACAAATTTACATTATTTTAAGCATTTTTAGATTGAACTTGACATGAATAATGTTTCTTATGACTACATGTTACAAATATCACAAATAAAAATTATAATCACAATCAAATAATTTTTAATATATATCAAATAATGTATATTAATCAAACAAAACAAGCTAATATAAAATTAGAACAATTAAAAGTGAACTTTAAATTTAAAATCTAAATATTTAAGGTTTCCTCATTTTAATTAATTATAAGTTTCTTAATTTAGTCTTTAGATTGATGTATGATGACGTTAGCTGCTAACGTTCAAAACAGTTTAATGCTGTGCTGTACATCTCTCTTGTGGGTAACTATATATATATTTACATATTTGAAAAGTATAATTAATTTGCTGTCATTCGGTTCTATGTTTGAAATTTTTACCTAATGTGCCAATCATACCGTAGTGTTTTATAATAAAGACAGTGTAAAAAATACTCTAAATTATAGTAAGATATTTAATATTATCATATTTAAATTTAAAAATTTTTAATATAATAAATGAATTATGAATCTATTAATTAATATGATATTTGAAAAATTATTTGTCTTCCACAAGGATGCTAATAGGTATGGTATGGGTAGAGTAAAGCATTCCTCGTTCCCATCCCTAGATTTTTATATTATACTTATCCCCTTATTCATATCCAATGGATATTTTAAATTTATCTATATTCTCATCTCTATGGATATTTAATGGATATGAGTAATCTTCGTACCCATAGCTTTTAATAAAAAATTAAAAACTAAAATATTTTTAGTTTTTTTTATTTTTATCTTATATATTTAGGTAATTTTTTATAAATATATATTAATATATAATTTTTCAATGAAAATATATTAATTTTAATTAATCTAAAATAATAATTTATATTATTTAATAAAAAATCTATATACTAAATACATATAAATATATATATGTAATGTATAGGTATGGGTATAGGATGGGTGCTACATTACTCATCCTCATCCTCTACGCAATAAAAATTTAAAATTATACCTATTCTTATCCCAATACTCATAATGTGATATCCATCTCTATCTCAAAAAATCAGGTTTCTCATTGAATATGATTAAGATCGACATCTTTAGTCCTCCACATTTTATTGTTTGAAACTAAGGTTTAGTACCATATCAATAAACAGATTCATGAACTATATTAAATATTTTATTATAATTTAAAAATCATTATGATATTAAAAGTGATTTCATTGCATTTATAGATCTATTTATAAATTAAGTCTGTATTTAGTTAAGTGCTAATTTCATGTAGAATGAAATTAAAATTAACTTATGTTTTAACTCAGTTGAATAATATAATCATTTTTAAGAGATGATATATAATAAATTTGAAATTCAAATCTATGCTATCCTTCTCTTATCCGTAGTTACGACATCTTTTATAAGAAAAAAAAATTAAAGTTAGAGACAAGTGTTGCAAGAATCAAATTTGTGAAATTTCACATGAGTATAGTTACATATATAAACAAAGAGAACTCTCACTAATCAGGTAAATTTGATAACCGTAATGCACTTTTTTTAAAATAAGTTGATCAGGGAAATTAATCAAGTCATGTTTTCCACAAAACCAACAATTCACTCTTTCCTTTTCTTGGAATTCTTCCTGACCCTATTCCAAAGAAAAGGAGAAAGTAGTTGGAGGCAGCTTACCCGCATTGAGAAAATGTGGTTTTGTTACAAATTAAGCCTAAATGAAACAAAAGCAAATCTAAAAGCACATGTTAATTAAAAGGAAAACCCCCCAAGCTATAATTTGACTCCCTTTGAGTGAGTAGTTTCGAAGAAAGGGGAAACTTTGGGAGAAAGAAATGAAGGGGCTTAAACGTTTTCTTTTTGGCCTTTTTCCTTGAGGATGACTGATCATACCAAAACCCTTGATTTTTTTTTTTTCATCAGCTGTCTAAAATCAGCTAGATCAGGGATTATTACATGATCAAATCTAGTAAAATGCCATTGAGCTTTGCTTGGTTATTTTAGTGTTGTTTTGTTTATTTCAATTTATTGTTGTCTTAGTTTACTGGTCTTTCAACAACAATCACAACTGTATATCCAATGAGAGCTGTCAATTACATTATGACATAAAATATTTATTTTTATATATGCTAATTCATGCATTGCAAAGAGGGAAATAGGGGTTTGTTTTATGGATTAGCTGAAACCAAAATGGGATCTTGACTGATAATTATGGAAAATTATCTCGTATATTTTTGTTAATGTATAAAAAAATTTCACCAAAAATCAAAGGATTGTCACATCCTCTTTTAAAATATATTAAAAATAAAAAATACACACGATAATCTTTTAACTTCATTTATAAAATTAAAAAAAAAAAAAAAGAACTCGATAATTATACCCTGAAGGTCCCAGTTCTTAGAAATTTCATGTAATCTTGTTCTGCATTATATATTGACAATCGTAATAATATTATATTTGAAACTTACTGCAACTTTGACCTTATGGTGTAATCACTATAAAAAATTTTATAAGTTGGTCAACGACTTTGTGATAAATGTATTTTTTATTTATCTTTTCTGCTATATTAAATATTACTGCCCTTTAAATTTATTAAAATGATTATTAACTGATAATAATAGGATAAAATTAAGATATGCAGAAGCTCAATGAGCTGGTAGGATTGATAGAGGAAGTTTCTTTTAAATATTAATGTAGAGTTGACAATCAGATTATAATTTTTGTTTGATAGGTCAGATCCCTTGTGTTGTTGTAGCAGCTTACAAAACAACAAAGTATTTTCAAGTATCTAATTCCCTTTCCTCAATCCTTCATTTATTTATTTATAATTTGTTTCAGATCAGAAATGCTGTAGAAATCCATGCAATGAAAAATATCCACTTTGCAGGGAATATATATGATATATAATACAATTTTTTTTTAAAAAAAAATTTGTATATATTGAGATTTAAACTTTAAATTTATTAAATATCATTTTTTTAAAAATTATTATACGATCAATTAATTTAAATTTCAAATTTTTTATATCAATTTTATGCTATACTGTTGCGAGGTTTTACTTTGTTTTAAACATTCATATTGATACAAATATTATAACGAATATAGATATTGAGATCTAATGATCCTTTGAATATATAAAAAAAATCTTAAAAATAATTAAACGTATCTATATTGGACACATATTCATGTTTTACACATTCGAACACAAGTAAAATCAAATTTTATGTATAATTCAAAACATTGCCGAACAATAAGAATCAAATTTACTTCATTTACACATCTAATTCCATCAGCAATTGGGCATGCTTTTCAAATCATAAGATCTAGGCATACACTTGATGCTTTTCGAAAATACAATGTGATTAAGGTGTTTATTTCTTAATTTAGATTAGTCACTTTATATTAAGAAAAAAGCCATTGCCATTCCTACAAAATAGGCCACTTGGTTTAATAGTAAAACTTGGATAATTAAACTTTTCCTCAACCCTAATAAGATGCAATCAGAAATTTGATTACCCACATTTTTTTTTTATTGTATAAAGATATGAGCTTTTGTTGACTATTTGTTTATTCATGATCACTTATCGTCTACACTATTTCGTTCACAAAATTAAATAATTAATCTTTAAGAATTATATCATCTATCGTGTTATGTAAATTAATACTTAATTGGCAAATAAAAATAATATTTTTAAATATAATAACGTACATGAGGTATAGTCAAAATTAAAGCATTGATTTTAATTTTATCTTTAAACCGTTATAATTCAATATTTTAAATTCATACATTTGAGATTAAATCCATGCATAAAAACAACTAAAATTTGTAAAAAAAAAAAAAGGATCAAATTGCAATTAGACGATTCATTTTCAAACTTCCACGTGAATTAGGCATTGCAAAGAACAATTTACACCCAATTATAAAGTTAATATAGTGTTACAAAATATATATAAAATTTACTTGCTATATATATATATATATTACCTCCCATAGTTTTAGAAACAAATTGTAGGGGGGAAAGTGCAAATTACCCAAAATGGGGTGTAAGCTTAAGCTCAAGGTCTGGCCGGTTCTTGTCATCGCATTCGTTGGCGATGGGATTCATTTGAACTCCGGGTTTGGCTTTGTTCCACTTCTAGCGGGCTAAGGCCCAAGTCAAAACGACCAGGGAAGAAATTTGATTTCGGGTTTTCTCGAATGAGATTTCAGGTTTGTTCAACTCCATCGTGCTTAGGCCCACGATATGGTTTCTAAATATATGATAGTTTGAATATTTATTTTACGTAAAATATTGATAATTTATATATTTATATCGTATTTTATATTAAAAATATGTATCTCAATTTATATCGATAAAATATAAAAATATATTTTATAATTTTATTAAATTTATTTATGATTTTTATTAAAATTTTAAACTGTATTATTTTTATATTTTTTATTTATATTATTTTTATATCATATCACCATGTCGTATTTGAAATTATCAGATCTATATTATTAAAGTGGATTATCTTACATTTAATAAATTTTTAATTTTTTGTAATCATAAGTTAAGCTCATCCATTTACTGTCTATTGATAGTGAGTTGGATGCTTAATATGATATCAAAGTTTAAATTTTTTTCGTTTCACTTTTTTAATCTGTCATGTAATATTTTTTCATTTTTGTTTATACGTAATAAAATTTTGTTAAAGTATATTATCTTACATCTAATAATTATTTAATTTTTTATAATTTTATATTTAAATTGAGTCATTTTATTTATAATTAATTAATTTTAAATTAGATATTTAACATATATTTTTTACTTTTGTGAAAAGAAATTTTTTTTTCTTACGGAGAAGGATAAGATTAATTAGTTTCACTTTACTTAAATCATACTAAAATATTCCATAAATATATAAATAAATATATTTTATAAAAAATAATCAAATGTAAAGGACAAAAATATCACTTTTAAATTATAAAATACAATAATAAAGAACAAAGATGAAAATATTTTTTCCCCATTTACGAAGATAGGAACAATTAAAAAAATCTATATTAAAAATAAAAAATATATTCTTCATTCCCTGCCTATCCCATTAACATCCTTAAATTTTTTTTTTTTAAAAAAAAAGGAAAACTTGATCTGTTAATTTCCAAATTTATTAGACTAGGAAAATGAGATATGGTAATTTGTCTCTTTGTGGTAACATTAGGTAAAATTTTAAGAGTTCTTTTAAATGGACGATAACCTTAATTTTGATAAAATTAAAAATAATAATAATAAAATTAATAACGATGAGATTAAATATTATAATAATAAAATTAAATTAATGATAAAATATTTATTTGAATGTAAATATAATAACGAGTGTAATAAAAAAATGATCATTAAGTATGTCAAATTAAATTGTATATAATTAAATCTATATTATATATTTAATGCTTGTAAAATTAATAAATAATTAAAAATTATGAAAATTATATTTACATATATATAAAATCAAAATAAAAAAAAATGAAATGTAAAATTTAGATGTAATAAGGATATTATAATAATGTAAGTATAAATGTAAAGATAAAATAAAAAGTAAAAAATAAATAATGAGAACAATATTATTCATGAACATCACAGTAAGTCATTGAATATGTTATGCTCCGATATCGATTGAGGGATGCGACTAAAATGTTTCATCGTCGATAAATTTGTCAAATAGGTTTCTATGATACATTTAACGCGAAAAGTAACTAAAACTCATTGTGTGGTGCTTTTTTTTTTTTAATCCAAATGAAGCCTAAGCAAAGTGCATATGTCACGGATCTAAGAGGGAGTCCTGAATCCCACATCGAACATAATAGGAAGGTCCCTGGGGTATAAAAGGGTTCACACCATCTCCGCCTTGTGAGGCGCCTTTTGTAGGACAAAACCGTGAGGCCAAGGGGGCCAGAGCGGACAATACCTCACAAGGGTGTGAACCGTGGCGGAAGGCTGATCTGGGACGCCGGAAGGGTGAATGCCCGGGTCCCGGAGCCGTACGGGTTCGGAGCTTGAGTCTCGACCCGTGACAAGTGGTATCAGAGCCAGCCCTAAACCGTTCGATCCACGCCGAGCACCTCGAGGGAGGTAGGCAGGGTGGCCGGCCTCCGTGACGAGGGCGTCACGAGGTTGGGTGCGGGAGAATGTCACGGACCTAAGGGGGAGTCCTGAATCCCACATCGAACATAATAGGAAGGTCCATGGGGTATAAAAGGGTTCACACCATCTCCGCCTTGTGAGGCGCCTTTTGTAGGACAAAACCGTGAGGTCAAGGGGGCCAGAGCGGACAATACCTCACAAGGGTGTGAACCGTGGCGGAAGGCTGATCTGGGACGCCGGAAGGGTGAATGCCCGGGTCCTGGAGCCGCACGGGTTCGGAGCTTGAGTCTCGACCCGTGACACATAGATTAACATTTTGTCACGTGTCAATTCTATATCCATTCCCATCCTCTGTTTTTTCTCCTCTCAACAATGAAAAATCACGGGCAAAAAAATGGGTAAAAATAAAAGCTTTTAAAATCTAGCAACGAAGATAAGACACTTGTGGAGAGCTTGTGGAACAAACACTCCCCTTCTTCCCAATCGTCATCTTAAATCCCATCCAACGGTCCAAAACTCACTGCAATCACTATCCTCAGAAAAATAATATTTCTACAATTACATAATCTCATTGGCTTCTTCACCATCATCTCAATAGAAAGCAAAAAAAAAAAAATGGAAATTGTCTAAGCCAAGTGACAATGGCTTCTCTGCCAATATCCTTTGCTCCTTCTACAACAAGGGTTTTTGCAGCAACAGCTGCAAATGGTGCAGGTGGAAGCAAAGAAGAGAAAGGGCTTTTTGATTGGATTCTTGGGAACTTGCAGAAGGAAGACCAGTTTTATGAAACTGATCCTATCCTCCAGAAAGTTGAAGAAAAGACTGGTGGTGGCAATTCCAATGGCCGCAAGAACTCTGTTTCTGTTCCACAGAAGAAGAAGGGTGGTGGATTTGGAGGACTTTTCGCCAAGAATTGAACCTACCATAGTTATCCAATCATGGGGTCTTATTGGTTTGGGATTCCCCCCCTTTTTTTTTTTAACTTTGTTGAACCTTTCTTGATTCTTGAACACTAAGCTGTTATTAATTTCCTTCAATGCACGCTACTTTTTTTCTCTATATATTTTTATAAATTACGAATTCATTTTTGGTTTTACTGATTTGGTCAATTCACTGATAAGAAATTAATGCATTACTACCAAGTAAATGGAAGTAAGTTGGCAGGTTGATTTTTGGATGAAAGGCTCATAACAGTTTAGGTTGTGAATTTATGTGCTTGTCTGCTTTCAAACATTGGAATGAAACCAGGAAAAGTGAATAGCATATTTGATACACCGTATCTGATAAATTTGTCTGCAAAAAAGTGATTGTATATGGCAACATGTCATGCAACAGTGATTAAACAGAAACTTCTGTTGTTTTCATGGAGGTGAAGGTGACAGCTGCTAATACATGAACCTGACAAAACATAAAGACAATGAACCTCATGCCTGGTAGAAATTTTAGCATTGTACAGATGATGTTACAATAAATCAGAGAAAAGAGAAACGGCCAGAGCTGGGACTGGTAATAGATATTAAGTAGATTTATTTTGGCGAATGGGAAATGGCAGGATGCATGTCTGGATCAGCATCCAAGCAGATAGACAAGATTAGGAGAAAAATAAATCATGGTTTCCCCTTTCTGATTTTTTTTTTTTTTTAAATTTGACAAGATATCTTGGCAACTGCAAACATTGAACAAACAAAGATGTGTTAGGATCTTGTTCCATTCAATTACATCTGGCACTAACTCATTTCTGTCATAGTCGACATAGTTGAACATCAGATTAGCTGGCATATTGCTGTTTAGAGACTTTTTGTTATAGAACAAAGGCCAGTTCAGTTTGAAGTACACAGTACATGGCACAGAATGATGTAAAATCCAAATTCCAAACATGACGTTTAATCACGGGTTTCAAATTTCAAATCAAGCTTTGGTAGTGGACAGGATGGATAGTGGGGGTGATGGTTGGGTGCCAATCGACAAAAAAAAATTAAGGACGAAATGTCACACTGTTGGCATGTCAATTTTGGTCTTGCCCTGAAGAAGGCAAGGCATGCTCAGCCAATTCTGTGTCAAAAAGCTAAGAATTCTAATGCACACGCTCGATTTTGGAAAACAATATCATGTGATTGCTGTCTCAACTTCAGTCCTGTACAGTGGTTGTGGTCTTCCTTCTCTTTGACTGTTTTAATAATTTTGAGGTCTAGAATTTTTTGGCAGAAGAAATGTACTCTTAACCTTGGACAATGTGGTAAAAACAAATGGATTTAATAACAAACTACACCTGTATCAAGGCTAGAAATGGACTGATTTGGAAGCCTATGAAACACACCAAGTTAGCTGGTAAGCCCTGTTTGAAATATGCAACCCAACAGAATTTACAGTAGGAGATATCAAACCAAAAGGATAATATAAGATACTCCATTGTCTTTCATAGGTAAACTAAATAATGCTTTTTTTTTACAAAAGAGGCAGCAGCGTAAAGACAGAAAAGAGGTTGCAGAGATGACTATATGAACAAAGTAAGATAAATTCCATATTCAAATAATGCTTTACTTTCATTATCCGTAGAAAAAGACAATGTACATATAAGCAACTAGGATGCTTAATATTTTCAGCAAACTATCTTTATGACCAAATATGATGATCATTAACTGCAGACAGAGTTCAATGAGAATTAGCAGAAACAGAATTTGATCTAGGCAAGGAAGCAGAAGAGTTGATAAATTCGATGCAGTCCTCGATGGCAGCATTTCTATGAGTATCAACAGGAGTTACAAATGGCTTTGATCTTCCTGATGAAGAAGAAACCTTAGGAGAAGGCCTAATTCTCATGGACACCACATGTAAACCTTTTGCTACTTTACCACCAAGATGCTTGAGAAACCTTATTGGCGAAAATTTGAATCTTTTACATCGCATGAAGCCACAACTCCTGGTAACCCCTCTGTTCTCAGGCGCAGCCCTAGCGGTAGACTTCTGTATAACAGAACCATTTGCCTTGTTGTTTCCCTTTTTCTGACTGACTTTGTTGCTAGCTTTGGTTGACATCTTCTGCAGTTAGCTGACCTTTGAGAGAGATCAAAGATAAAGGAAGGGAGTTGCAGTAGAGGCAACAACTGAAGAAGTGGATAGAAAATGGGGTGCGAATGGATGGGAGAGCTTGACAAATATAAAAGGAAAGAATGCTGAAAAAGTGAGCTAAAAAAAGGTCAGGCAAGGAGGGAAAAGTAATTAAAAAGAAAACAGAGAAATAAAATTTATAGTTGGTTCTATACTATCAATGAATCAAATGATATTATCTCATTATAAAAACGTTTTTTTTTTTTAAATCAAGTTTTATATATTTATCCCAAGGGCTAGTAAAAATTTATGATTGGTAGTTGATGAGATGACATCATTGTATATCAAATACAAACTCATAAATAAATATAACGCAATACTTCAATGGTGAAGTGGTTTTTGTAATCAAACCCAAATCATGCATATACCTTCGGTAACTTCTCTTAAAAGGGATACTATGTGTTTGCAGCTGCCACTTACTCTTTGGCTTAACTGGTAGGGTAGCAGTCGGATATTTGAAAGAGCAAGTCTTGCTTCTCTCTTATTACACAGAGAAAAAAGGAACGGACGTCCCTGAGATTGCAGGTTATATGAGTTTTAACCATTTTGATTCCAAGTTGATTGAATTGTTTTAATATAAGTGATTAAGGGTCTTGTGCTTCTGATCTTTCTGATCAAATTGTTACGGAGTTTAGGTAGGTTTCAGGAATCTGTTGCCAGGGAAAACTTTATACATGGAGGAGAAATGTCAACATTAGCAGCTGGTTGCAAATGCATGTCAGGTTCTCCAAAATCCATCAGCATTTCGCATCACAAATGTATTTATATATTAAAAAAAATGGTGTGAATCATTCTTTTTGGTTTCCAAATAGCTTATATCATGACTAAGATAGCAAGATGCCCCTCTCTGCAAGGCTACAAATGAAAGATGAAATGCTATCATTGACTCCAGTATTTGGTGGGGACCTGGAATTCTTATGTACACACGAGGGGCTATAAACTAAAAACTAGTACCAACATCAAATCAGGTCCATCAGAAAAAGATGTTCAAAGAAGTTGGTAAGAAGGAGGAAAAAGGATAAACAAAACCCAAGGCATAAGCTAGGGTAGCCTCCTTTGAGCTTTCTTTGATTTTCCAGTGCTTTTCCAGTGCTCTCTTCATTTGGAATCTTTAAAGCTGATGACCCAGAGAGAGAAAAAGAGGTTGGTTTATTTAAACTGAATATTCTTTTATTTAGGGGACCCTGACCCTTCTGCTATTTAGAAAAAGTGGTTTTAGATGAGATAACCTTTCGGTAAATCTGCTTTGATCATAAATAAGATGAAAAACTTTTTTGACTCTCGGAAATGGAATGCTTAAAACAACATCCTTTGATCAGTATGGAAGCCACAGATTCCCTGCTTTTTCTTGGGAATTTTGTTTCCATTCCTTGCTCAGGAAAAAGAGTTGGAGGTTGGTATTTTCCATCAATTGGATTGACCAAAAAGTGAACAAAATAGATGTCAAAGGTGGTTGGAAAGAAAATTCCAATGTCACAGAAAACCATGTGTGTTCCAACCCTCAAGACAAGAGATACAGATTCACCAAGGATAAAACAGCATTAGTACAAGATAAATTATGATTAGACATGACAAAACATGCAGGATGGTGACAATGTAACATTATATGTCTAAAAGGCCAAAAGAAAAATTACAAATACAAATGTATCTGCACCTTTGCAGTTGATTGGTGATTGTGTTTTATGTGTGAAAAATTCAAAATCAAAACCAATTGATAAAGTAGAAGAAATTTTCTTTTGTCAGTGCAAAAGTTGGATGCAAAAGCATTCATTATATTAAAGATTATCAAGCCTGATTGAGTTCAAGACAAGGGGACTTAAAATGACAGTCTAAAGTATGGGTAAATGCTCTGCCGAAAGCTGGACTCATATATATATATATATATATATATATATATATATATATATATATTCTTCCTATTCTGTTTCCTTTCAACCTTTTCACTGATATGTAGTTTGAAATTCAGAAGTAAACAATTAACCCAAATTACTACTAAAATGCTCATGATTTCAAGTCCTTCAGATTCCAAATGTCGGAAAACCAATTCAATTATAATAGTATTAGATTATTATACACATTCAAAGAAAAAATAGATACAGAGCTTTTCAATATACATTTTCCTGTAATTCAAAGTAAAGGAAATTCACTGTCTTATCATTTTTTTTTACAAGCAAAACCTGCCCATCATGAGTAATGATATAATCCAAGAATTCCCTAACTTCTCCACAATCCTTAAAACCCTGAGTTGAGTGAAGATCACTGTCCAAATTGTACCAAACCCCATCGATCTCTGTCAATGCAATCCAACGCCTAGTTTTTCCGAGCCCACCATACTGTGTAACAGGAACATTAATCACAATTCCCATCAAGAATCCATCATTAAGATCAATTGCTGATGCCCCATTTTGAAGATCATGCCAAATGACAGTCTTCCCAATACCCTTCAAGTGCAGCAAGTAAAACATTTATATCATAGTTTCCAGGAACTGAATTATGGTGAGGCTTGAAGACTAAAGAAAAGGGCGTCCAAATTTCCTTTTTTGGGTCATCAAGAACGAGTTTTTCAGTAACCGAATTCAAATTTGCTCGAGTAAATGCATCCTTTTGCTGAATTATAACAAAATATTACAAATTATTAATAGAACCCATTCACAAGAACATAATAAAAAAGAGAGAGAACGTATCTGGAAGAGATTGTTAAGGGAATGTAAGAGGCAAAATTGCAATCTTTGCCTTTCGTGATAAATTTGGTTCCGGCGCTTGCCATGAATCAAAGGTTTTTGAAATTTGATTCTTGCAAAGGGACCCTAATAGCTGATTCAGTCAGGGTTGGTCGTCAAATTCATGTGTTCTGGGTTGTTAAGCTGCTTGTTTTGTCGACCTTAAAACATGTTTTGGTTCAGTTAGGATTGCTTCTTTTGACAGTTTCTAAATAGAGCTATTGGCATTAATCTTTCCATTCGTGGATTTAAAACATGTCAAAATTATGCTAATTTTTAAAGGTAATTTAATGAAACAATTGAACTGAAAATTGTAGCTTTAGTACTTATTTTTTAAGCCAAACATAGTAGAAGTACCAATCAATGAAAATAAATTTATTTTACTTTGTGAATTGTGGATAAGCTAGTTTTACCTGACACTGGAGTGAAAAGTCGGGCCATAAAGCTGTATCTGCCTTCGTGGATCAGCTAGCCCAAACCATCTATGGGACATGGGACCTCCATTCCTGTACAAGCCACAGAAAAGAAGGAAAAGAAAATGCACACTCCCTAAGCAGGCATTACCCTGTTCAGGTTCAAAGGGACTTTCTCAGCCTCATCTGCCACCAGTCTGGCCAAATGCCAAGAGCTAAAAGCAGATACAGGCACCCCAGTGCATTTTTATGTCAAACAACATCAAAATCATAAATACAACATGCATGGAAGTTGTAGGGGAAACATTTTATTATTGAAACTCACAACAGACACAGCAGAACAAATATATAGATGTCTTAAGAGCTACTCAACAAACTAAACTGATACTCACCATCACAGTAAAAGTACTGAATATGTAACTGCTATTAGTGAGCTAACGATGCACCAGGGCTCCAAGGATTTCTGAAGCAATTCACCTTATTTGTGTGACCCAGCAAGAAAATGCCGATGAGACATACCACATGAGGGAAGGACAAAATAACCAGGAAATAAAGGCAGAAAAAGGATGATTAATACATTGAATAAAATTTAAAATGATAACATGCTTTGAGTTTGAATAAGAACGGTTATGCTTAACCATTGATTTTCTAGTGTATATTAACTAAGTGCACTTCTAATAGGGTGGCTGGTCTGATTTCTTATGAATATAATCATAGCACATGCTGTAAACACAACATTTAATTTGCATTAAGTTGAAGCTTTAAAATCCGTTGGGAATGCATGTATAATTATAGGACAAAGTAGACATGCAAGGATTAATCATCTTACGATGACATTGACCTAGACATTATGTTGTCCATGAGGTAAATTATGTAATCATTTTTTTCTTAAAAATAACTATTCAATAGGATTTGACCTGTTTTACCATTAATTGATTTTATTTCAAGTCACAGGACTACTTCAATCTTTACCAAGTAACATTTTCAATGCAGCATATAACATCTTCTAGAATTTCAATACCAGAGAACATCTCCATAATACTCACCTTCACCTCTCAGAGGAGGTGACATAGCTGGCTGGCAAGTAGATTTCTCCACCAACTTCACCATGTTGTTCGCCACTAACAGTTTTCTTAGCAGCCAGGAATTCAGCACTCATAGCATCCATCCCATGTTGCACAGCTTCCTCAGGGCTGCCATAACCATGCTCCTCAGCATACTTCCAAACATCCTCGGTTATCTTCATTGAGCAAAACTTCGGTCCACAACATGGAGCAAAAATGAGCCATCTCGGCATGTTCAGATGGCAGGATTTCGTCATGTAAGGACATGGCAGTCATGGGGTCCAGTGACAAAGCAAACTGGTCCATCCATCGGAACTCAAATCTTGCCTTGCTTAATGCATCATCCCATGCCTGAGCATGTGGATGACCTTTGGCTAAATCAGCAGAATGAGCAGAAATCTTACACGCTATTACTCCAGCCTTCACATCAGGTGCTCCTTTGGAGTTACATAACAGATAAGTGCTGTACCAAGAGCTCCAATATTGGCTGCACCAATTGCAGAAGTGATATGGTCATATCCAGGAGTGATATCAGTTGTCAAAGGACCAAGGGTATAGAAAGGTGCTTCATTACACCACTCCACCTGCTTTTGCATATTTACAGGAATCTTGTGCGTTGGTATGTGTCCAGGTCCTTCATTCATTATCTGAAAACGCAAAAATCAAAACTTCATATTGCATTCTATAAATGTAAGTTAAAAACATATAGATTAGGCATTTTTGCAGAAAATAAAAGAATCATTATTGTAATAATGGATGCATGGTGATGAAAAAATAGGATAACTTAGCTTATTTAAGAATACAGCAAGCCATTTTTCTTTGGTTTGACAAATGACATATCTCCAAATGAGAAGGCCAATTTCTTGGAATTGCATGGAACATTTTCATTTCAAAAAGAGTGATTGAAATTC